AAGGTTAACATTTCATTTTAACTCCAGATATGTGTTTCTCAGAATGTTATATTGTGCATTTATTTACTGTAAAAAATGCTACTGATTAGATTTACTCAAGTCTAATAGCAATTGAAGCAGAGTTTGTTCATGTTGTGCAAATCTTGTGGAAGTTATTTTCAGATAATGGATCTCTTCTGATCCAACTCATGTGAGTTTACAGTTTACTTAAGAGATATTGAGAGTTTTCAGTTAATTTGAAGTTTGGGAAAGAATGATCTGAAATCTGTAAACAGGATAATACATTTGGGAATTGAAAAATCTGTTCTGGATAAGAGTCCATCTTCGCCATGTGAGTGGCTTTCCTGGGAATTGAAAAAAACACTTATGAATACATTTCATTTTTAGTACATTTCATTCATATCTTGTTAGTGTGACGTTGAATAAGCATTTGTGGTTTAAAAGCACTTAATAAAATGAAATGTATTCATTTTTCAACTACCAACATACAATGACATTTTTCCATGTACATAGAACATGGTCAACAGTGTAGAGGAAATTGTATAACGAAATTACACCTAACCTATCTAATACTCTATGGATATAAAAATAAAGACGTTGAGATAGAGTCCCAGAAATCGTCTTCAACAGCGTCTCTTGATCCATCGACGTTGACGTCGGTCTTAATGTCGTCCAGATACGGATAGTCCACCATGCTCTCTTTATTCACGGTTTCATTATGATGTTGTAGTTGAATCTGATTTTCATCGTGAAAATGTGTTGAAATGGTGGATTCGTCGCCTGACCATAGTGTTGGACTCTTATCTAGAACGGATTTTTCAATTCCTAAATGTATTCTCCTGCTTGTAGTTGCAGCCATGTGAGTGGTTCCCCTGTGTTGGAATCCATGGTTCCGACACTCTATAGTTTGTTCTATTACGCAACCGCAAGGTAGTTCTGGACGTCTAGGCTTGATGACTAGATGTTTCTTCCGTTTGCATTGGTGATGCATCGCTACTATAGAAGGGAGTGTCGGTGAAGAAAAATTCTGCATTTCCTACTGTCCAGTTCTTTAAAGATGAATTTGCTTCTTCTTCGAGAAATGCTTTACACGAATATTCTAGAGTCCCTGGATTGCAGACCACGATACATGGGATTCCGCCTTTAATTTGAACTGGTTTGCCGTACTTAGCATTTGATTGCAATGAGCTCTTTCCAATATTTTTTCTGCAAATAGGCTGGAGCCACGTCGTCTATGACGTTGTACTATGCATTATTCAAAAATGATTTCGAATTAAAATCCGTGAAACCCATTATGTAGTTATGTGGGTCTAGAGATCGTGCCCATACTGTCTTCCCAATTCTAGTTGGGCCTTCTAATATGAGACTCTTGGGCCTGTTTGGTCGTGATCCAATTTCTTTTACATTTTCTGAGGCCCACAACATCAACTGTTGAGGAATGTTGAACGATCCTAGATTGAATGGAGATTTGTAATCCCTGATGGGTTCTGCAAATAATTAAGTTGTGATACTATAGAAAGAAGGTTCGAGGATCGTTTTTCCTAATAATCTCTAGACACTGCTTCTTGCTAGACAATGCGTTGTCATATGCTTCGTCCAATTGTATTGGACATTTTTTTCTCTTCCGGCTGTTTTGTTGAAACTGACCTTCTTCAACGCAATGTCCCCCCTTTTCGATATATTCGGCGACGCCATTTGCCGATCGGCGCTCTGTATATTAGGATGATATTATTGGCCGGAATGCGGTTCGACGACGTCGAAGAACCTACAGTTCTGATATTTATATTTGCCTGAGAACTGAACAAGACAGTGCAGGTGATATTCATTGTCGGAGTATCGTTCCCGGCATACTCTGATGAACGAATAATTAATGGGGAATGGAAAATGTTTTATTTGATAGAGGACAATTTTCGGCGAAATTGGACATCTGGGATAGTTTAAGAAAAAGTTCTTCGTGTTTATGCAGAAACGAGAAGAAGGACAAGGACAAGGAGAACCCATTGAACAGTATCGGTGTCAAAAGACTTTGTTATAGTGTTGGTGAATTGGAGTCACATATATACTATGTGACGTGTCGTCCTTCACTTTAATTCAAATTTCAAATTTCGAAAACATCTCGCCCAACAGTGAACCAATTTGAATTCATATAGATTCCCTAGGCCCCGCAGGGGCAGTATTCTCCTGGGTCCATACCACGTTGCACCCAACATGGAGTCTCTGAATGCATTATTCAAAAAGGATCGAGAGTTGTCAATTTTCGTAATGATTGAGAACATTTGTACCAAGCTGCAACAGTGGTTTCACGATCGACGTGTGGAATCGCAGAACTGCTCGAGCTAGCTAGCCCTGGCTCAAGAGGATAAATTGTTCAAGGCCGCAAAGGTTGCGAGGAAGTTGATTGTTGAACCGTTGGACAAGTCACGATTCTCTATACACTGTACACGTCATGTGACATACATAGTGAACCTAACTGACAACACATGCACTTGTACTCGATTTCAGTGGAGAGTTATCCATGCGAGCATGCAGTCGCGGTAGCTCTGAATTGAGGCTTTACAGTGAGAACATTGTGCTCTCATTATTACACGGTTTATTGTTGGAGAGTTGCATATGCTGAGACTATATTTCCCCTA